TCTTGGTTCTGGGTTCTATTGTCAATCTAACTTGTAATTGCCAAGCAGTGTGAAGTTCAAATCTTTTATATTCCCAGTGTCATATTTTCTGGACCCAAAGTATTCAATTGCCTCAGAGCTTCAATGCATTTCCCCTGTGTAGATATAAGAACAACAAATTATAAAGCTTTACAAACTTTTAGAATATCATAGTATTTCATGTAGGAGATAGTAGAACAACTTTCTTTAATTTTTCTTCTGCAATGCCATCCTATAAATCACTGGAAACTAAATAAAATAAGGAAAATGATACAATAAAATTAAATTAAATGTACACTACAGGCAGTTTTTATAAAAAAAAACAAATAAGTTATTCAGGTTCATTTGACCTCCCATTAGGTTTTAATTTAACAAAACATAAATCCCCTAGAAATCTGCAATTGAGAGACAGTAATTGTGACTTACACTTGTAACTATACCTAGTAAGGGACACCACCAATAGATTAGTTCAGTTAATCTGACTTGTACTAATTGTAACTTGTACTAATTGTAACTAATTGAATGAACACTGAACATGAGTATGGCCCTTGATTTTAGGCCACTTGTCTACATGATAGAGTGGCTGATAACAACTGCCTTGTGCTTGCTATCTATGTTGTGCCAACATTAAGCACAATTTATGTATAGTTGTAAAGCCACAGAAATCTTAATTATAAATCTGTGCACTTCCTTTGCTTCAGTTAGCTTATGGATACATGATTTCAAACCACTTGATGGGAAGTGCAGCTTTTTGAATATTTTCTGCTCTCAATATAACTATAATGCAAGTGGTTCATTTTTCTCAACCACAGAAAATACATCAAGTGGTTGACTGATATTTTTATTACTTTGTAGAAAGCTAACTTAAAAATAGTCATTTATCACATTAAGTGTAAGCAACTTGAAATTCATCAAGCTTGAAATGGAATGCAGATGTTCTGAAGCTTCTGTAAAATTATTTGAGTTAATAGTTCAGATCGAATACTAATATTTTCCTATTTGAATTTATGGATTCTAAATGTTGAAAATGGAAATGGATAAAAGTATGTTGATTTTGACACTGTCTGACAACTGTTCTCTAAGAGAATGCCAGTATAAAGGAATACGGATTGCAACTGAGTTTGTAAGGAAAACATATTTCAACAGAGGCTTAGCAATTACGTTTAGTGTAAACAGTATTATAAAGCTATATATATTACCCTCAAATTTGAGTGATATAATCAGTTTGGTTACTGTTTTACTTTTTCTGAAAAACAATGAAAAGATAAATATATTTAACAAACAGTGGTTTCAGAAGTAACATACCAAACAATTTTATTAATAGTTCCAGAAAAATGGTATTTAATACAATCTAATATCTTGGTGTAATTCAAAGCAAACAAAATTCATTAGAATTGTTATTTGCTATGATTTACATTAGATTTTATAGCATTATTTGTTATTTATTAATTAATCTAAAATAGAAATAATCAAACCAGGGTAAAAACAATATAATACATATTCTCTATTTTATTTCAAAATAGTAACTATAAATACATTCTTAATATATTTTCTCCCTAACTCTTTGGATGCAACGATGACAACAAAACTGTAAAAGAAAAGAAGAAAGATAAATGAAAACCTCACTGTGCTCATTTCATATATTATCCATGTAAGTCATGCAAATGATATTATAGATTAATATTATCATTATAACTTTCTGGATTGACTTTGATATTTCTGAAATGCCTATGACATTACTCATAAAGCCATTCCCTTTAATACTAATGCATCCTTATGGCGTAGAAAACTAAATGTTTTTGAAAAGCAACAAATGGTAATGGTCTTTAATAACTTTCTAATTGATATATTTGTTCATAATCTTATTTAGAATGGAAAACTAAGTATAAGATATAAATTGCCTCATATATTTGAATCACTGTACTTTAATAGCTGCTTTCTCATAAAATTACACAAAGATTTACTTTTAAAGAATTGAATCATTTTTATTGATTTCATAAAAAAATAATTTAAAACTTGATTTATATTACACGGACACAATATATTATCTCACCCTTTCACTGATTTCGTAAGATCTAGTTTTCTCTGCAAGTGTTCTAACATAGTCCATACACAAGAATATAATGCCAAGAAGGCCATGATGTGTCATATCACATTAGAGATAATCACTTCTTGGCTTTTTAATATTTGAATCAAAGTCTACTAAAAAATGTTTTACCATGTATATATCGTATCTCAAGGGGTTAAACTAACGTCAAGATTATAGCTGAAGCCAAAAAATGCAGATACAGTATTTAAACTGCTCTTGTACTCAACTCAGAATTTATACCTAACTACAGTATCATAAAAGATACAAGAAGAACTAATGAAAGACAGGTGCAAAATAGCATACACTGTATAATGTAGGCACAATGACTTTAGTTAAGGAAAGATTATTAGCCTTAACCAAGAATTTGTTACTTCCATTTACAATTAGAACCACCAAATAAGCACATAAAGTTAAATTACTTTTTTCTTAAAAATGTTTGAGCATTTATAGCTTTCAGCACTAAAGTGTGAGTAGCCAGTATACTACAGCAAGCTTTGAGATGGTGGCAGGTACTCTTGCCGCTGACAATTTTTGGAGAAACCTCAAAACATCTTCCAAACATCACCACACTGAATAAAAAGACATCATCCCAACAACCTATTAGCCCCAGCTTATGCATGGAGCTTTCTGGTTCCTCCTGTAAGTGTCCATTTAAGATTTCTGAATCCACACTTTAATAATGGGATAAACAAAAACACTTTGTTGTAAGCCTTTGCATCTTTATCCTGTCAGTGTGCATTAGGAGCCCTTTAATCCATGGATGCATGCATGCATGGTAATGGCATATTAAATGTCCTTATGAAACTGCAGATGAAAATTAGCATTTGAACACACTTCTTTTCTTTCAAGATTAGAAAGCAATTATTTGTTTGGATGTATTTATATTCATATAAAGTTTCCACAGACATTGTCATGGACCAGAAAATTACACATTAAAGTTTTAAGAGCACCAGCACATACATAGGGAGATTTTATTTGCTATCTAAAAAAATCTCCAAATCTATCTATCTATCTATTTATCTATCTCTATATATATGAATATATACCCAAACACACATGCTTGCACACACACTCACATACACACACATATATACACACTCCTGTAATAATGTCAAATTTTCCTTTAAAAATTTGGAACAAACACATAAAATATTGAAATTAGTATTTAATAAAGGGATTGCTGTTACAACTTTAACTGTAATATCCTTTTGAAAGCTGCAACAAAATATCTGCTACTTGAAATTCATGAAGAATGTCTATTTGCCTTATTGGCTACTTTACTTAATAATACAGTAATTCATCATCCCAACACACACACACACACACACACACATACACACAAACACACACACACACACACACACACACACACACACACACCTGGCCAAGAAGGCAATGAGTTTCTGAATATTGATTTGCTAATCAGAGATCCTAAATATCTTCAGATCTCAACCCATTATCAAATACTTCATTCATTTGACCAATTTTGATTGAGAACTTAACAGCATACACAAACACAGGGGCATATCAGTTGTGGTTGTAGATCATGAATTCATCTTAGACCAAAAAAAACATTTTACACTATGGCTTTGATAGCCAAAGCATTTTACACTATGGCTTTGATAGCCAAAATTACCATGATGTTTACAGTTCTACTAGATTATCTGATAGTAGTCAGAATGATGAAGAACAGGATACTGATGCATACATGATACTATTAACCTTAGTCATTAATTTGTTAAATATTGTAATTAAAACTATTTGAATTAAGCTCATAGAATCATAG